GGTACAGTAGCGCTAGGAGCATTAGAACCAGATGCCATTGTTAAATGATGAGGTTGAAGACGAAGTGAAGGAGGAAATGTTCTTGCAAAGATGACAAGTTGTATGAAAACAGAGAAGTTTGAAAGCTAGATGGCGTAAAAAGTCCCACAATGGGGTACTTACTGCTATTTATAGTAGTGGGGGAAAATCCCCAAAACCGAGGACATTAAATGCCATTTAATTATTGCAGGAGCTAGTGGGACGCGTGGCAGCCCCCTGTTGTTTTAGCAGTTCTGCAGAAATAGAGGGACGCAGCGTGCGTCCTCGTTTTTGGGAATTGTCATAATGACAAATTCTGAAATGACGTTTGGTACTGCACGCCGTACTGAAAGTGACGTCTTAGGTACGGATAAATGATGGTTTTCTTGGGATTGCCAATGGTTGGTAGAAAACAACAAAAAGTGCACAAGTTAATTTGTGACTAAGCGTGAAAAGACAGGTGTCGAATGGCGTTTCAAAGAATGCCTTTTTCTTTCAGAGTCGAAATAAGGCATTCTTGGGGGGCAATTTGTTGGCTCCTAAATTCGACACCCTTGTTTTATTAATGTCAGCCATTAAAAGCTGAAGGATGTTTTCGACTGGCTAAGTCTGTCGAAATGCCCGTCGAAGGATGGCAAAGTACTTAGGAGATTTCTTCCAAGGGAGAAGTTGGTTGCCTTCGATGTCGAAGGAGTTTCTCGTCGAAGATGTCTCTCGACGAAAGTGTTTGATGGTTCAGAGTGGAGCAGTTTGAAATTCAAGCGTTTGGAGGGAAAACGGTTTCCAGCAGTTACCACGTGCAACGTGCAAAGATCTGGAGCGTCGAACGTTGAGAACGTGCCAAGTGGAGTCATCTCGAAGCAGTGTAACTGCCCGACGGTTACTTGGGATGTTTTAGTATAAATAGTAGTAGACATGTAGTTTCTCGTGTGTGTTCACAATTCTATACAAAGTCACTCATATAGATTCGAGTACCCAGCGTGTGAGAAAGAATTGTTGAGAAATGTATGTGTGAAACACCAACTTTATTAATCAAAGTCATTTACTTTTCCCAAAATTTACTTGCTTTCCTCTTTACATTCCAGTCGAAGCCTTTTACTTTAAGCCTTGTTTATTTTACCAAGTCCTTTCTTCATGCAATTTATTTAAAAGCCTCTTTATTTAAAGCCTTATCCAATTTAATCAAACTTCAAAATCAACCTATGTCCTAGGATCAATCTGATCGATCCTGCGAGTAACCAAATAAGTAACCATTTGGAGGATCAGCGGTTGTTTACCAAAACCCAAGGTAAACACATGGTTGCTTTCATCCATTTGTTGCCTCAAAATTGCTGTAGAAGCATTTGTGAGGCTTGGAATCGTATGGGATGTTCCTCCTAAGAATTGGTTCCTACCTAAATTTGCCATACCAGTTCCAGATCCCTGCAATGGTGAAGATGTACTCACCAAAGGTTCTGAAAATGTGGATGAAGCATTTATAAGGCTTGCCATTTCAGTAGTTGGCATGCCATAAGGTTGTTCTCGATCCATCCAAGCTGTCGAAAATCCTGGAGGGACATAAGGTCGAACCCCTAGATTTCCCCTTGGTGGGGGTGTTCCTGGTGGACCCCTAGGACCTACATAAGAAGGTATTGATCGTGTTTGTGTAGCCGTCAACACTGGTGTCGAACCAACTATTGATGGCATAAGCTCACTAACTGTTGACATAACAGTATTTCCAATGCTAGAGATTGGTGGATACATTTCTCCACTACTAGACGGATTAGCCATTTTACTATTTCTTTTCTTAGGTATATATTTGTGGGTGGTTGTTTTGCCACTTCTCAATAACATACAACAAAATTATTTTTATCAGAGTTTGTAAAACAAGAAAACTTAGCAACGTCCCACCAGGTGTGCCATTTTGTTTACCTTAGAAATTGGTAAACAACCGTTGATCTTCTAAAATGAGTTATTTTGGTGACTTGCAGGATCGATCAGATTGACCTAGGACATATGCTAAGTTAGTTTGTAAGTTTAGTAAATTTAAGTGAAAAAGGGTTGAGAGGAGAATTAAGAGTAGAAGCGAGATACAGGCGAAAACTTGATGAAAGTGCAAGTAAAAAGTAAATAGAAATGGGTTGAGAAGAGTTTAAGGATAAAGGTTAAAAAAATGATAAAAAGTGAAAGTAAAGGCAAGATAAAGTAAATTTGCAGTAATGATAAAGTTTACAAGGAAATGTAAATGGAAATGAATGTAAAGGAATTGTAAAGACTTTGATTGAAATGAAAGATGGTGTTTTCAAACGTACATTCTCAATATCTTTTCTCTCACAACAGGTACTTGGATATATTTGAGTGACTTGTACTATATGTTAAACACACATAATTTTACACAAATTTCCTATATTTATACTAAAACTAAATAACCGTCGAGCAGTTGCCTCGTTCCAAGACGAGGACAAGTGTCCTCTGCATGTGCTTCGACCTCTATCTTAATGCCACGTTGCTTTCCTCAACTGCCAAAATGAACTATCTTTCCCTCCTTTCTTCAGATTCAAAATTACTCGCTTGCTGATACAAGAACCTTTAAGCCGAAGGCCACGGGAACCTCTCAGTCGAAGGCCACGAGGACCTCTTGGTCGAAGACCAACTTTAACTTAGAAAATTCTCTAAGTGTTTTCTCCTTCTTAGCAAGGGAGACTTCGACACAACCTTTTCGTTACAAGCTCTTCTGTCGAAGTATTTCCAATTTAGATTTGTTTAATCTAATTTTTTGGCCAATAAGACCAATATGTTGTGGGTGTCGAATTTATAAGCTAACAACTGCGTAACAGGTATGTCTTATGACAAGAATCCAAGATTTGATGTCGCTGTGTATCGTAATCTATTGATGTACGTGGTACCTTTGAACTTTTCTACTTTTAAATTATTTATTTTTTACGTTTTCATTATTCTGATTTGATTTTATCTATAATTTATCTGGAGACCATATTTGAGTTTGGACCATGAACCAAACCCTGAGGATGCATCAGTTTGGACTGTAAAGATTGCAATCATACGGTTAAATGTTATGGAGATGCACCACAGTGACCGTATCAAGATGCAGTTCGGAATGCATCAAGAGATACCATGCAATCCAACTTGTTTGTCACCCTGGCATCTCAAAAGGGTTGACGCCCAATGAGGTCTTACTAATTGGAAATATTTTGCTCTAGAATGGTGTAAGATGTGGCATAGGCGTCACCAACATGTCTTGCAACTCCATGTTTTCCTCAACCAGAATAATATGCGACACAAATCAATATTTTGATTGGTATAAATCGGTTAGTAACTCAGAAATGCACGTATCTCATCCAAGATATTTGGTCGACCCACGAACACAATGGGCACAAACCTCAAATCCCCAACAATAAATCCAGCATACATAAACTTTCCACCAAACACCACGACGATACAGATCGACAAATACCCAACCATAATCACCACCTCAATATTAATACACCCATATGCCCCACACCCAACCACAATCACCACCTCAATATCTACACCTATATGCCCCACACCTAACCCCAATCGCAATTGCAATACCAATATACCCACATGCCCCACACACAATTTCGGTCTTCTCCACATCCCGATGTGGACCCCTCATCATCTCACCTTAGCCCAAATCTAGGCTTTCTTGAAGAATATGACCCAATCGACCCAACTTACCATTAAGCACCACATCACCATAGCATCCAACAATCGCAATACCAAACACCCCAAGATTCATTTCCTTTTTACCCCCTTACTCAGACGACTAGTGATATAGACCATCCATGGAACCTCACCCCCACCAAGACAATCAAACTTTGAGGGCATGGGTAACCGACTGTACCAAAGCGGATCTTCCAGATATGATGATATGATCGATTTTTCATAGATCCTAAACACATTGATTTCGCTGGGCCATCGACCCAACCGCAACAGGAAAATCAACGAAACCTACCACAAGATAGGCGAGGACGCGGGTGCGGAACCATGGGTCGTTACCGAGTTTCGGGGGACAACTAAATAATATGTATGGTTTTTTTTCCATTATGTAATTGTTTATTTGTTAATGAAAAAACAAAGTTTCATAAAGCTATATCGTTTACTTATTGTCTCGTATTTAAAATAGAAAACAAAAAAAAATTATCTCTTAAATGCACTTAGGCGCCATCTGAGATGACTTAGGGCAAACATGTTGCACCTATGCGTCATCTCACTTGGCGCCTCCATATAAAATTAAAGAGGATGCATCATCTTACTTGGCGCCACTATTGTAGTGTTTTCTGAAACATGATTATTTGTATAATTTTCTCAAAAACATGATTATTTATATATATATATATTTTTAATATCTGATTATTGTTAAAAAAAAAATCAAATTTGATAAATATTAATTAAATTTGATATATTGTGTGGAGTGTTGCTTATAGAAAAAATGGGTGGAGTGTTGTGATTATAATTTAAAAATAAAAATATATGAATTAGTTAGTTGGTGAATTTAATGGTCAAAATGAAAAACATGCGACAATTGGTAGAGAGTGGAGGGGACGGTGATTAGACCACACCTCTTGTAAATTGAAAAACGAACTTTTCCTGAGCCGCCCTTGCTTTCCATTCGATCTCACCTTTCCCTTTCACATCTCATCAATTCATCACACACTAACAAACGGGTCAGTCTATTTCTCCATTTTCAATTCATTTCTTGTATTTATTATTCATCAATTAATTAACCAATCAATCTATTTTAACCATCCCTTTCGCTTTCATCATTCATATTTACTCTGGATCTGAATCTGAATCAAAACCCTAAAATTATAATCCCACTGTTACCGATTAAGCTCACTGTGAGATTACTACCGAATTTTATCGCTACGATTGATTATAGAAATTCCATGATTTGCTTCATGTTTGTTTGTGTCTCGCATGCATGTAATTGATCTAGGTTTTCTTTTTTGTAGCTGGTAGCGATGTCAACTCCGGCTAGGAAGAGACTGATGAGAGATTTCAAGAGGCTGCAACTAGATCCACCTGCAGGAATCAGTGGTGCTCCTCAGGATAACAACATCATGCTGTGGAATGCTGTTATATTTGGGTGAGTTCGATGGGTAATTGTATAAAGATACATGTCATTATGTATGCTGTTAGTCACTTTTGTTTTATTTTATTTCACTGAATGGATAAGCAATTTCTGCTTTGGATTGCAGTCCTGATGATACTCCATGGGATGGAGGTGAGTCAATTCTTTACTACAGCTCCTATCTCTAAACAATTGTCATACATGTGTCAATTATGTTATTTTGCTATATTGTGTATTTTTAATGATTCTATTCTTTTAATTGAACCTGGTTTTTCGATGGCAATAGAGTTTTGTTACAAACATAGTTCTAGTTCTTCATTCCTCTAAAACATTTTGGGTTGCTTGATGGGCATCTACTAGGCTATCTTAAAAATGATTCTAGAACTGCCGTCTGCTCTGTGGTTTGATGCTATTTTATGATTCTAAGGGTATGTTTGTTTTAGCTTAAAAAAATAGATTTTTTCTTTTTATTTTCAAAAATGATTTTAATGATGATATTTTTAAAATTCATTTTCTTACAAGTTGAAGACTAATTTTGACATCATGTAACATAAAAACATAGTCGAAATTGCAATTTTTTTTCTAAAAGTTGTATCTCAAAAATGATTTTTTATGAAAATCTATTTGAAATAGCTTCAAATGTAAGTGATTATTTTAAAATTTGACATCCTCTAACATAAAAACATAGTCGAAATTGCAATTTTTTTCCAAAAGTAGCATCTCAAAAATGATTTTTACGAAAATCTATTTGAAATAGCTTCAAATGTAAGTGATTATTTTAAATTTTGATATCCAAAAAAAGTTATATGAAAATGATAAAATACTTAAAGTAACATTTTAAAAACAACCATTCAAACCAATTTTTCATTTGAAGCTTTTATTAAAAAAATTTAATAAATTTTTTTAAAACCAAAATATGTAACACTAAAACTTATTTTAAAAAAAAGCCGAAACAAAAGAGCCCCAACTCTCTCCGTCTCTCTCATTTGTTCATTGTTTTTTAATATTAATTTGAAGTCTTGTTTGGTATGTTGTCTCTACCTAACGTGCCTCTTAGAGACTGCACTTACACTCTCTTGAAATATGTTAAGCTAAATTATTTTTCCTCATCAAACCATCTACAAGGGTGCTCTTGTTCAAGTAATTGAATCAAATATATATTTTGATGTGATGTTTATGTTATGTGTTTTGATATTATCATGAAATTAGATATGTTTACATAACTACATGTCTACTTTTGAGTTATTCAGGCACGTTTAAGTTGACCCTTCAATTTTCTGAGGATTATCCAAACAAGCCACCCACTGTACGGTTTGTCTCCCGAATGTTTCATCCAAACAGTAAGTATAAGATTGAAAGTCCAAACCTTTTTATCCATTAGTTAGGTATCTGCCAACTAATGTAATTGCTACTCTTGACAGTTTATGCTGATGGAAGTATTTGCCTGGATATATTGCAAAATCAGTGGAGTCCTATATATGATGTAGCTGCAATTCTCACTTCTATCCAGGTATCATCTCGTATAGTGTAATCAATAATATCTTAATGTTATCCAATAGTGAGTTAGAAATGGAACTTTGAATTGTGAATCATGAACCATAAAACCATATTGAATTCTAAGATTCTGCATAATGATATGTAGAAAATATATATTGTGCAGATTATTTAGTGTTCTATGTGATAATTTTAAACTATGAATTGACAAAAATAAATAAATCATAATTCATAAGTCAGAATGAAAGCAGATCAATGATATAGCCAATGAGATGCACATGGAGTGTATGAATGACTGCAACCAAGGCTTTGTGTTCAATTAATGAAAACTTAGCAATGGAAATGCCAAATAGGGTGCATGGGGCGAGCGAGTGACTATGTGAATGACTGTTTGATATTAGCCCCTTTTTTCTTCAGTCCATTTTGCACCGAACAATTTAAGCCTATACAACCTTCCAATTTCTTTGATGAGAATTGATGTACAAAATCATTCAAGAAGATCAATGGAAATAACAAATATGGTGCATAGGGTGAGTGAGCGGGTGACTGTGTAGCACGTGTTTTGAAATGAGCCCCTTTTGAACTGAACAATTTAAGCCTACATGACCTCTCAATTTCTTTGATGAGAATTGGTGTATAAAATCATAAAGAAGAAAGTAATGCTTTTTGGTGAACTGTACAATTCATATTGGTGATAAGGAATTTCAGTACTCATTCATGTATAGCATGATTTATTGCTATTGGTGGATTTATAGAAAATAGGAATTGTTGGATCACCGAATCACTTCAGATCATGGTTGAGATGTTCAATTTTAATATAAGAAAGAAAACAATCACATATATTTTACATGATTAGGCTTGCGTTAGCGGTTTGGCCACAACAACACTTTTGAACCAGTTCATACAAAGTCCAGTGCCTCTGCATAATATTTTTGCCTTTTTTTAAATATTTATTTAAGTGTTATATCTGTTTTAAGGAATCACCCTCATAATAACTTGTTTTTTCTGTATGTGTACTCATCTTTTGATTCATTTGTAATGTTTGTTTGGCTTTTCTCCTTTTCATCACTGTTTCTACTTTTCAATCTAAATATAGACTCTGGAGCATACAATTCTAAACATGAGTTTTAAAAGTTTTATCATGGTCTTATTTGCCGAAACCCATGTTGTTCCCACCATTTCATGTGTGTCGGACCCATTTCAAAGTGTGGGACCCATATCCTCATGTTTTCTGACTAGATTCCTTTGCTTGCAACCTAAAAATCAAACATATAGGAGCTTGTTATATTTGTTTTCCACACAGTTTACCTCTTTTATTTTTGGTTTTCCCACTTTTGCTTACAAGGGAGTTTTAAAACTGTTGTGATTTTGTCAAGGGTTGACTAGATGAAAGTATGGTAACTCTTGGAATACTGGAAATTAAACCTGCAATGAGGTGCTTCCCAAATGATTGTGTGCTGATAGGCTAAAAGCCATCATTGGTAGATATGTCTGTTGATTTACTTGCATGTGTTATTTTGAATCTAGAATGTGAAATATCACATTATATGCACAAGGCTTTAATGTTTTCCTGTGCGGCATGGTCCCAATGTGCCCTTGATGCAAGAGTGTGATGTGCAATCATTCATTCATTGTGGATGAGACAATAATGAAAAACCTGCAATTTGTCAGCTTCTAGGGTGGTTGAGATGTAATTTTTTCTGGAGATATTCTATTTGCCATCTTCCTAATTTCACTCTTTAGCATCCCATAACCCATTATTGTATTTGGAAGTATCCGGGGAACTTTTTTTCCATACTAAATAGAATACTTCCTCACAAACTTTTAAATTGATTTGACTGTTATGTAATGGGTCAGCATGCTGTGATTACTTTCTGAAAGTTACTATTCCTTTTTGGCAGTCATTGCTTTGTGATCCCAATCCAAATTCTCCTGCAAACTCTGAAGCAGCACGGATGTATAGCGAGAACAAGCGCGAGTACAATAGAAGAGTTCGGGAGACTGTGGAGCAGAGTTGGACAGCCGACTAAGGTCATCTTGATATACTTGTTGGCCTGTGATGTCAATTAGGTTGCATTGCTACGTAGGAGAGTCATGCAAACTCCAAAGTCTGTTGTATTCCTTCTTCTGAATGTCAGTTTATCTTGTCTTTTCCTCATGGTAGTTTATGCATTGTCCATGTCAGTCTATGTAATATAAAATTCTGTCAACTTGCATCTGATTGTTGTCAACATAGTTCAATGTACAAGTTGTAGTCTTCTGAATTGGTTGTGATCAAAAGGATTAATTAAACCGGGTTCAATTCTGTTTACATTGTATAATTTCCCGCATTTAATGTTTGATTGATATCTGTTGTTGATGTATATCTTAGTAAGCACGTACTAATATAGACATTGCAAACCATTTAGTAGTTTGTCTTTTGTCTCATATATATATATATATATATATATATATATATATATATATATATATATATATATATATATATATATATATATATATATTGAATGCTGTCTTTCCTTCTCCTTACTCAATCTTTCTTAAGAAAGAATGAAATTGAGAGAGAGAGAGAATATGAAGAAGTAGTTGATGAAATTTAAAATTAAAAAAAATTGTAAAATGAATTTAAGGGTTTAGATCTCTACACTTGAGAAAAACTAAAAAGAAACCGGCCAGAACTTCTTCCCTTTATTTTTAGAGTGTTAACACAAAAACCAAGATGGGTTAGTGTTCGTACTTGATCAGAAGGGATCGTCAAGGTTCATGAGCTTTAACTTGAGTATCGGTTGAATGTGAAGTGGAGATCGTCAAGACACTCTGATGTTAAAATAAGGTTCAGAGCAAATGCAAGTAAAGCGTGAGAGTATAAATGAATGAATGAATACCTGACTGTCTCATGGGAGATGTTATTTATAGCCCTCAGCATTGGGCCAAGTAATTTGGGCTCAATAACAAGGACTGATAGGGTTACGTGTGTAATGGGGTCCAGCACGTGGCCCCCTCTTTAGTAAAGCACTCCGAAAATATAGAGGCAGTGGATCCGTTATTCTCAGAGGGCAAGTGGCGGTTGATGTGACTGTTGACCACGTTCCATAATGGACGCGTGGGGGAAATCCCTAACGGCTATCTGACTTGGGTCTGAAGCTATTGGGCATAGGCAGAGGCGTTGGTATTGGGCCTACCCATATGTGGACCAAGTGCCAGCCGAGCCTAGAACAGGAGTCTCTCAAGTTATTGCTCTTTAGACGAGAGAGTGATAATTTAAGATCTGTTGGATTGTCGGGGAAACGTTGCTCGAAAAGAGACTGTTATTTTAACTCGAGGAAACGTTGCTCGAAGAAGAGAGCGTCTTTTGGGTCGAGGAGACTTTGCAGGAGGGGAAGGCTGCTTTTCGGATCGAGAAAATGTGGTCGTTAGTTGATTGACCTCCTCGCCCTTCTCCTTAGTTGTGAGCAACTTTTGGAGGATTTTCCTCGACTGAGTCGTTGATTGCCTGCTATCGTGCACTAGTCTCCTCGAGGTGTCCACGAGAGGGTGCTTCACGCCCGCGGAGAAATCACAAGAATCTCTTCTGAGCTCCTTTCCATGGGCGAGGAGAGTCACAACTATGTCGTCCACGTGCTCGGTGAAGGTCTTGAGACTTTGCGTCAGTGCGTGGCTTCGCGTGGGATTCTTTGAAGTTCAAATGGCGCGTCACTACACGTGTCACACATGGAGACTGTTCAGCTTGTCATCATTGTATAAGGAAGTCTAAAGGCCTAGGCAATGATGACTCTTGGCACGCTACTCGTGTGATGGGACTAGCTATAAAAAGGGGGTGAAGAAATTCTCTTGAACATTTTCACTTTCGCTCTCCTCTCGCACCTCCTCTGTTCGCAAGCTACTCCATCGTCGTTGCCATTGTCGTAGATTTTTCAGCATTCATTTGTCTCTAAGTAAGTGATTTTCTTCAAGCTTTGTCAGTTTACTCTAGGGTTTTAGATGATTGGATGAAGTTTTCTGGCGAATTCACGAGTTATGGGTAACGTTTTATGAATTCTCATGAAATTTCCATGAAGTTCATGAAAATTCATGACACTTTCGGTGAAGTTCATGGACTTTGGACGAAGATCCATGAGTTTCGTATGATGGTTCATGAGTTTTGGATGAACTTCACATGGATCTATGTCGAGGATTGGCCCCTCATGAATTGGGTAGATACGGGCAAAACAGCTCCATGTTGGGGATTAGCCCCTCGTGAACTAGGTAGATATAGGCAAGCCTCGTCTCCTTGTGATCTTATGCTCGCTTGAGGGGGTTGCTTCCTTCGTGGGTTTCAAGGGCTTGAGTCGAGGACCTCCCCTCGAAGTGTTCCTCTTCCTTTCACTTGATTTGCGGTGAAAGGGTAGATTTGATGATGTCGAATTCGTTGTTTTCTTCTGCTTTTCAGGTTAAATGGCTCAATCGATTAAGGAATTGAATTTTCCCGGTTCTCAGGGTGAAGAAAATGCTAACGCGGGCAACAATGCAAACATGGGCAACAATTTGGACTGTATTGCGCTCGAGCCTAAAAATCTAATGTCCTAATTCGTCCATGATGCTTCAGATGCCTTCAATGTTGTCGAGGACAGGGTCGAGGGTGCTCCTGCCTCTTGGTCAATTCTCATTACGTACAAGAGCCGGAGGATCTGTTCGGCCTACCCGGGTAAGTTCTTTCTAATGTACTTGTTCTCTTTCAAGGAGGCGAGGATGCGTCTGCCCTTTACAACCTTTCAAGTTGGAGTTTTCAAATGGCTACACTTGGCGTCTTCCCAACTTCACTTGAACGCGCTCGCGTTTATGCGGACATTCGAGATCGTATTTCGATATCTTAATATTAATGCCTCTTTACCCCTGTTCTTTCGGATCTTCCACCTTCAACGACAAACGGTTGGGGGTCTCCAGGCCTGGGTGTCGTTCAAGCAGCACGAAAAGCTGTTTCGACCGTATCTGGAGTCCGTCTGACATTTCAAGGAAATGTTTTATGTCGTGAAGCCACTGTCAGACGCGGCCATGTACTCCATGTGTGAGCGTACCATCGAGATCAAGGATGTTCTGCAGGTGACTAAGTTTTAGGCGAGATTCCCCCTTGAGTGGCAGGGGACGCATTATGAGCAGAAGCCAGAAAGTTATTCAGTAAAGCCCGAGAAGTTGGACGCTCAGGATAGGCTTGCCTATGATAAATTGGCGGCCTACGTAAAGAGCTTCTCCCCGGCCAAATGTGCGGATTCAAACAACAACTTTATTTTCAATAATGAGGGGGAGCACATGGTCGTTGCTCGCCTCATAAATACAAAGATGCTTCTCGAGTGTTCATCTGACGAGGAGTCCCTAGAGCTCTTAGGTAGGGGACGTGTTGTATTAGATGTTTGTCTGTTTTGATTTGTAGACTAAATTGTTCATTTTTTTGGATTGCAGGTCGAATGGCCACTTTCGAGGAACGTCTGCTCAAGCTGAGGGGTAAAGCTGGATAAAAAGTGCCCAAAGGGCGTGCTGCCCAGATTCAGGAACAAGCTAGAGTTGGCGCTCAAGTCAGTGGTTCCTCTCCCTCTCAAGGTGGCCAAGATTCTTCCCCTGAACAACCCGCAAAAGAAAGCGCGGGGAGAGTACAGACCGTGTGACCACTAAAGATAAAGGCAAGAGCGTCGGGGAGACATTTGTTTTGCCCCCTTGTTATCTCCGTCGTGACATCTTTAGCGGGGACGATGCCCTAGGTCTCCATGAAGGGGAGTAGGAAGCTATCATGTCTGCGAGCAAGGAGGTCCAGCGCAAGAATCTGTTTGAGGACGTGGCCGCCATAATGAGGATTCTTGAAACAACTTTGACCCTTAATGATGCGGAGACGTGCTCGACGGAGGAGCTCGACAAAGCGTATGGCCGAATTGACAGGTTGAAGCTTCAGAACGAAAAACTGAAGAATGATATTCTCAATCATGAGGCGGAGTATGAATCTCAGGTGCAACTCCTCAAGGATTTGAACGAGTTGAGGCCAAAGGTGGAGGAGTTGTTAGAGGAGAATGAGAGGCTTGTTGCCCGAGTAAAAGAGTTAGAGGGGATTGTGGAGCTCGCCGAGGAAGAGACTGACGTGGAGATGACCCTTCAAACGAGGAAATAGTTGATAGACTGGATCCGCGTGCTCGAGCAAGATGTCGTGGATACCCTCAATTATGGTTTTAACATTGTCGTGGCTCAACTCAAAATCATCAACAGCAGAGTCAAGCTCGTGACCAGGGGGAATGTGCCTTTCAATCAAGTGGTTGATTGGAAGATAATATATGCCCAAGCGATGAACCTGGATCGAACAACGAGGAGGATGGCGAAGATTAGGAGCTTTGGATCCGTGCGCCCATATGTTTGCTCGGTATGCGTGCCAAAATTTTGTTGTTTTGGATAATGGGCTATGCCCGTTTTTGCATATCTGATTAGTTTGGGCATGTGCCCCCCCCACTTTGATATTGTACAGACAATACCGACCTTCGTGGTCGACTTTCTAATGTTTTTGTTCTGCTCTTACGTTTTGCATTATGATATTCTGTCATTGTGTTTGACGTGCTTATTTTTAGAAATGTGGAATTTTGATAAGTGGAGGTTTGTGCTCAACCTTAGTTGTGGTCGACACATGTTGAGATGTGACGAGGAAGCGGAGTATAAATTCATACGAACGAGGTCAAGATCGCGGTTGGGGTCTTGACTTCGTGGCGTGAACTCCCCATCACGAGTTAAGTGTTCTGCCTATTGGGTACTTCGACGGTGGAGCTCGGTCGAGATGTCCCCGTCGGGTTAAGGTTTCGCTCGACCAATGAGCGAAAACCCGCCTTTTGTTATTGGCTGGAGACTATGTTCGTATCTCAACATGCTTCCGTGGTCAAGCGAGCTCTGTCGTTTGTCAGAGAAGGTACGCCGACTGCTAGACCCTGGTGTTTATTTTGGATTTAGTTGTAATATTATTTCAGTTTTATAGCGTTCTATGGTCGAGGTAGTGGTTCTCCACTTAGGCGTTCGAGGTGGTAGA